CTAGATTAAAACGCGTGCTTGGTTAAAACACATTAGAAATTTGTTCCTGTTCATTATTTTTAAATTCGCAGATGATGCGGATTATATTCGTATTCATATTGTCTATTTTTTATTAATTTCACTTTAGGTGAGTTTATAGACTATAAAAAACAACTCAGAATTATTAAGGACCAGAATTCGCCGAAAGTGTATCACCTGTCAAGCGTTAGTAACCCTGTATTGCAGCTGCTAATGCGCGCATATATATTCGGCATAACTCTGGAAAGAATTCTTTTATTCAAAGCAAGCTTCCACAAAAACCTTATTGAATTGAACATTTTGTACAACTGCTCAAGCACGCTTCAGTAGATAATGGTGTTATCATTGTGTATGTACATACTTTGTGAAATATCAATACGATCATATTATAATTAATAAGACGTAAAAGCATATAAATGAATATTGCTTTCTGAAGAACGATCTAAACTAATATTTCCAACATTTCTTCACATGATCTTGTCAGTGAATATGAATGATCCTATAAATTTGTTCTAGCTTAGCGTCTCTCAAAAAGCATAATAGCTCTTTTAATAAACGTCTTTCGTCCGTTAACTCGTCTGTTAATTATTTCTGCTTTTTTTTTTTTTCAATCATTAAAAATTACGAGACAAATAGCCTAAGTGTCACTTTTGACTAATTTTGTATATTTCATTAAGTACACTGTGTGCTGTCTTTCTTTCCTTTGTTACGAATATTTATTCCAGGAACTATCCGTCTCAAGAGAAACCTTGGCATAACATTCACAAGCTCGGACAAAGCACTTTAAAGACTTGCCCCAATTAAGCAGGAAGTTAAATTGAACCTTGGTAAGGAACAACTATTTGTGCACTATATAACAGTTATAATCCGCGAAGCGGAATAAATCTAGGTACTCCTTCGAGTAACGCTCACTAAACATTGCAGCCTTTTGTGTCCTCATGCGGGACCGTCCTCTGCAGATTTTATCTCTAGAACTAATGCTCCCTCCAGCAAACACTATGCAGTCGGGGGAAGACACTCCTGGACAGCTGAAAACACAGTGATTGCCGGGTCGCCCCACTAAGAGATGGAGACAGCTTAATTGTACTGTGACCTCAGAAACGTTTGTATAATGTTACGTGGTGGACCTTTTATACGTTATTCACAAGACCGGTCAGGCCCAGAAGAGTAGGATGAGAGCTGCGAGACCGGCGAACATATCGTTAGCGCGAGTGGCCCGAGCTGAGGGAGAGCGTCTTGTCACTTTTAGTAGAAGACGACCAAATCCCCATCATAACGTACAGGCTGACTGGTAGGTATTTCTATTGCTTTATATTTCCACGGATCAACCAGATGCAGTAAGTCAAGTATAATGCTAAATATCCCGCTCAAATTCAAAGGCGCCAAGGTCTCGACGTTTTATCGTGGATATTGTGACACCTCTTGGCGTGAAGATCTCGGGGAAAGTCTGTCGCTTCGGGCTTTTCAGTGTTTTATTCTGCTGCATTTAACAGCAGAAATCCGGGGATTATAAAAAAGAAAAAAAGAAAAAAGATGAGAGCGGGATAGATAGGGGGGGGGGGGGGGGGGGAGCGCAGCCATATCTATTCACTTCAATTTATTCCCATTGCCGGCGCCAAACTCTCTGGCACGCATGTCTTTCAACGGCGGCTTCCGTTTACGCCATGTGCGGCAGAATTTTAAGCACTACTCACTGAAATATAGTGATTTTTTTTCAAAATGAACTCCCGATGCACGTCGTTGAGTTCCGGTCCTACCGAGCCCATTAATGGTTAGCTACAAAACAGTTTTAATTCATTAGAATGTTAAAATTACGAAACACTAGCTTTCCTAACACATTTCATTCGTTCTTGAAGATTCCAGGGCAAGCTATTAAAGTAATAGCTAGAGCATTTAATCAGAAAATCAACGCGTAAATATGGCCTCGTACTTCCCATCTTTGTCTCTATGGTACAAAACATAAAAGGGAGAGAAGTTTACATGTCCCAAACGTCATAACCAAAAAGTGCACGAGAGCTTTATACATTTTTGTTTAAAAAGTGCTTTGAAATAATGCGTTTTCACTAGATATTTGGAGTGCAAACAAACCATTTCAAAAAGATAAATTCCGTAAAAGCTTTATTATTCACTTTTTTGCTGTAACATTGAGTATAGTATGTAAAATTGTTGTTTTAATCATGTTACTAATAAAAGAAAGAAATTGGAAACCCTCAGCGGTCTTTACTTATTAATGATCAAATTAAATAATTTACCTATGACTAACATATTTTTTTTCGAATACCCAAGCACAAAATAAGTGTTTTAGCAAGGAAAGCTTGAATATATTTTTTACTTTGTTTTTAATGAAATGAAATTGCTTTTTTTCTGTTCAATATGCATACCTTTGGATCGTAGCCATAAAGAGGTTAGAAAACGCTGATGTATTTTTTTTTTTTTTACTTCACGATGTGTACACAGTAGCGATGATAGTTCTGGTAGCTTTTCACATTTTACTAACTTCTGTTTTGCAAGCGTTCCGAAAAAAAAAAAAAAAAACCCTGTATATTTTCAGGGGTAATTAGACACGGGGTAAATATAGAACTACAGCTATTCTGCTCTTTGATGAATCAAGAAACGTTTTCGTTATGGAAACTGCCATATTGAAAAATATTAGTGTGAAATATTTTTCCTATACATTGACACACTCAAAGGTAAATCCAAATAGAAGAATAATGAGAGGTAACATAAAGTTGATAAACTACGCGTATGACCCCACAGTTAACTACCGGGTGGTTTAATGATAGGGCAATGCCCCAAACACCAAAATAACCTTATGTCTTACGAACAAAGGTAAGGTCGCCAGCTTGAAAGAAACTGTAGGTTTCAGCGAGGGCACACAGCCTCATACACTACATATACGTCCTTACGCGTGTCACGAAAAAACCTTACAAAGAGTGCACAAAGACAATGATCTAGACGTATAGGTTAACACGCTACACGACGCACGACCCTGCACGACGGGCAAGCGGTCTTTTAAAACAAACATTGGCTTCAAGTCGAAGAGAGTCCTTGCCATTCCGAAGAAAAGGACCCGTTCCGCTCCAGCTGTAGCCAAAATGCCACGTTCAATGTCGCCAGGGAAGGTCAGTCTTCTCGAGAGTTCAGGGATCTCTTTATCGTCCGGGGAGTCGCGTAATGGATAGCAGTGCAATCAGTCATCCACGGCTTGCCGCCTCGGTCACCGTTGTTAACTCGACGAAAGCCCCACCGCTACCAGCTAGGTTTGTTCGATGGCGCGTTGATCTTCGCTTCCGCTTTGGTTTCTCGAGAAAAATAAGGAGAATGAAGCATTTCCGGCGTTTTGGGTGTACGCTACGCTGAACTGGCCACTAGAGCAGTCATGCATTTCTGGTGGAACAATAGAGGTAAGAAAAGGCATATTTCATGGCCACGCGTTTTGATCTTGAGGTTTCGTTGTTTGTTTTACCCTTGCAAAGTTCAACCACATATATGTACGCAGCCACGCAGTGAAAATATGAAGTTCGTTTGATGGCATTAGAAATCAAACAAAATTACTGATATCTTCAACGGTGTAAATCTCTCGAATAACGTAGATCAGGTGTCTCCAATTTTTTTGGCTAAGGAGCTGGATCGAGGATCTTTCGCTGTGTGTACCTTGTATCATACCTTGACTTAAAGACGCTGTGTGTATTTAATCAATTAATGAATACACACACTTCCGCAGACCCACAGGCTGTTGATCGCGCCGGCAGTGCGCAAACCAACTCGAAGTAATCGTAGACCTCGAGAGACGTGTACGCCTGCACCGTGTCGGCCGTGAACTGGTTTGGCGAAAAAACTAAATAAACGACGACGTGAGCCATCGACGTTGGTGGCAGCAACTTTACGTCGGAAGTCCAGCAGGTCTTGTTTATACGGCGTACGGATCCTCGTAGTCAACGCCGTCCACGCACAGTTTGTTTCGATACCGCTGCAGTTCACGCTCGGGCAACGAGCTCAAATAGTCGGGCATAGCATACGACATACGTTGTAAGGAAATACGACGCACAAATAAAGATACAAGCGTCCCTACAACGTCAACAACGAGTGCACGCCATAGAGCGCAATGGCGAAAACACGGAGAGCCGGGCTGCTTTTGCCCATATAGCTACCGCGCATGCGCGGCCTTCCGGCCGTGTTGGTAAACAGAGCCGCTCCGCGTGTCGGTCTATAAACGGCCCGCTCGGAGAAGGCCCAGCGGAGACCACGTGACATCCAACGCAATCGTCACTTAGGTCGTCTCAAGACGAGCAAAGCTACGGCGAGGCTGACGTCGAGAGGATGGCCTAGTCGTTCCAGCCACCGAAGCGGCTGCTTTTGTACGAATTTTGAGTGACGGGTTAATCTTCTGTAATCTTGTAGGGGGACAATAGCGACTTCTGCGACACACAAAAGGCATTCTCGGGAAGAGGGGAGTTCCTCCTGCCCCTCTTCTCTCGTCATGGCCGGAGACGAGACAACCTCCGTCACTAGCTGTCAAGGTTCCTAGACGGGCATTACAAGCGAGGCGTTAGCGACATCCACCAGGTGCTCTTTGCTAATCGTTTAATTCGTTTTAAAATTCCTTTTCGTGACTTTTTTAACAAGATATTGGTATGTTAGATGTGATGCTGCTCCTTTGAACACATATAGACCAAAAAATGAGCGCCGAAATTTCGTTGTTATATCCCTTTAAAGGAAATGAAGCCGAATTTCATAATTTTGGCATGGAAAAGGAGAAATGTAGCTTAGGAATGGGGAACAATAAAGGACAGACACGGAACAACTTTTAACTAGAGACAATGTTTATTTCCACTGAAGTTTGTCTGTTACTATACAAACTTCGGTGCAAATAAATACTGTATCTAGTTGGGAAGTTGTACTGTGTCCGTCCTTTATTTTCCTTCCTTCCTGGGCTATGTGTACATTACCAACATGCTCAATCTGTCTTGGAAGGAGACATCTTACTTTTTTATAATGGGTGCCTGCATGTTGACAAGAGCTGAGCAAACTTGAAAAACCTGGTTCATCTGTGGGATAAGCGTGAGTGGAACTCTGTGCTTCAGAATGTGAAAAGTTTTGAGCCTCTGTATTACCCTTTCTACATGAATGCGAACTTGTGCGATGTGGTAAGTATTGTCCATGTCCTCCTGAGAAAACTGCTGACCAGCACTCGAGAATGGCGGCATTACGAGGACAGCACCCTTTTCAGCCACGGTAGTTCGGATGCTTGGAAAGCCCTTGTCGCTTAAAACAACATCACCGGGCTGAACCAAGGACAGAAATCCAGAGTTAACAGTTATGTGGCAGTCACTTTGTCGGCCCCCATAGATCTTAGATATAAATGAAATCTTGCCGTTCGGAATTATGCCAATCAGCAATTTGATGGTGTAACCACTTTTGTAGCTGGAGTACGGGTAGTGCTGTTGCTCAGGGTCAGATGGAGATTCTGTTCTAATTTCTGTACAATCAATAATGAATGTGCAATCTGGGTAGTGCGTTTTAAAGGCTGGTGGTAGCGACTCCTTGATAATTTGACGGGCTGGCACAAATACCCATCGTTCAAGCCTCACACTAAGAGTGTCCAGTAGGGTCCTTAAGATCCGAGAAGCTGTGGTCTTGTGGACGGAAAAAAGAGCGGCCAGTGCGGTGTAACTGATCCCCAACTTAAGTTTCATTAAGAAGAGAACGAGTTTGTCCTCGGCCGGAATGTCACTACTTCTGTACCTGGTTGCGGGTGTCAGACACAGTAGGAGGCTGAAAACGGTCATTGTGACACCACATAGGTCCTGCAGTGCCTGCTCAGAATCTCTGAGAGACTGGAACCCAAGGAAACCGCACCGCCGTCGCCAATCTCTTTCTGTGCTTGGGGCCGCGCTTGGGGCCGTGCTTGGGGCCGTGCTAAGGGCCGTGCTTGGGGCCGTGCTTAGGGCCGTGCTTGAGGCCGTGCTTGGGACCTAATGGTTGGAAGGAAAATTAGAATAAAATATTCCCATTAAACACAGCTGCATAGGATAGAAACTGAGTTATGACATCCTCCCATAGAGAATATTAAAGTTAAATGTATTATTCCCCTGTTAAAATTACCTCACCCACCTTCTCTGTGTGAGTGACCTGCGTTGATCCGTTGTGTCCATCTGCAGCAGACAGCAGGAGCCAAAGCGGCCCACCATCCAGCGCCTCGTCAGCAGTCTGCGTCGCCTAAGAAACAGTAACACGGAAATTAAATTAGCACTCAACATCCTGTGCCAAAAAGTGAAAGCTGCTTACAACTCCCTGTAACGCCGAATTAGAGCGCAGCTCTTGAGGAGGAGGAGGGAAGGGCACTGGGGGGGGGGGTTAAACTAACCAGGGGGGGTCACGTGACCTTGGGGGTCACGTTACCCCCAATGCCGATGATGTCATCACTGAGGTCACTGATGACGTCATCATTGACGATGACGATGCGGGTACCGATGACGTCATTAGTGACGTCACTGAAGACTTCACCAGTGATGATGACGATGCGAATGTCGGTGACGTCATCAGTGACGTCGCTGATGACGTCATCAGTGATGATGACGATGACGATGCGGATGTCGGTAACGCCATCAGTGATGATGACGATGACGATGCGGATGCCGGTGACGTCATCAGTGATGATGACGATGACGATGCGGATGCCGGTGACGTCATCAGTGGCGATGACGATGTGGATGCCGGTGACGACATCAGTGACGTCACTGATGACGTCATCAGTTATGATGACGATGACGATGCGGATGTCGGTAACGTCATCAGTGATGATGACGATGACGATGCGGATGCCGGTGACGTCATCAGTGATGATGACGATGACGATGTGGATGCCGGTGACGTCATCAGTGATGATGACGATGACGATGGGGATGCCGGTGACGTCATCAGTGATGATGACGTCATCATTAATGATGACAATGACGATGTGGATGCCGGTGACGTCATCAGTGACGATGACGTCATTGGGGGTCACGCGACATCGGCGGGGGTCACGTGACCTCAGGGGAGTCACGTGACTTCGGGGGGTCACGTGACCTCGGGGGACGTGCCCCCCACGAGGTCACGTGACCCCGGTGGGGGGCTCGCGCGGTGCATTCTGGGACATTTCCCATGATGCAACGGGGTCACGTGACCTCGGGGGGTCACGTGCCCCCCACGAGGTCACGTGACCCCGGTGGGGGGCTCGCGCGGTGCATTATGGGACATTTCCCATGATGCACCGCGCGGTTACGCCGACGCCGACGCCGACGCCGATGCCGACGCCGACGCCGCTCAAGCCGGAAACGGGCCCCTAAGAGCTGCGCTCTAAAAACAAATCTATTAATACTCTGCACTCACGATGGTAGGCACTGAAAAGTAAGAAACAAAGGGCCAGAGCATTATACTCTATGCTGAGGCAGAACTTGCATTCATAGTCCTAAAACTGGGGCCTTTAAAGGATATTACTTGCAGTCACAGGGTGCCCCTCACCCCCATAAATTACCATTGTAGACGTGCACTTCGTAGGCATAGCTTGGGCTGCCGTGTGGACGAGCGTCGCAAAGGAATCCCAGTTGGAACTCTCGGCTTCTGTTGTCGCCTCTGGCTCAGAAACCGTGCGAGGGTCAGGAGGCGTCCCCACTGGAGGTGGCATGGGTTGGCAGCGGCTGGATCGTTTCAGCATCCTGAAAGGTTGAACATGTGGCATCTTGCACTATATGCTAGACCACATTACTATTACCTCTTTGCCCTCTCTACATTGGGCGCCTTCTTCTTGTAGACAGGCGGGAAGATGGTGAGGATGCACGAGGGGTGTGCCTCACCGTCGTTCTTACAGTTGTCCACAAAATGGGCACTGCAAATTCTCGTCGCCGGGGACGGCAACCACTTGGAGCCATCCTCGCTGGAAAATAAAATAACCTGAGACCGAGCTCTGGCCTGACCAGCCGAAAATCAGGCCAACCTTTTATTAGCTTCCAAGTCGACATCACATTTTTAAATATCTTAGGTGAAATATGTTTACCAGAGTAGCGTAGCGTCACTGTATAAATGCTACGATACGAGCACGTAAATCGCAAGCTCTCGTGACGCCGGCATTGCCACAGTGCTTTACCACACTTGGCATATCCACATTTTTTATGCTGACCGTCATACTACCATATTTTCCAGACTATGGTCCGCAAAAGAGAATTTGGGGTAAAAAATAAAAGTTTTTGCTCAGATGGTCCGCACGCGTCGCATATTCCGCACTTAGCGCCTAATCCGAACGTGCAAATTATCATACACAGCAGACCTTAAAAAATGCCTGCTGTATTAGCTCACAAAGAAGCTTGTATCATACACAAATCACTATTAATATATCCTTCGCGTCTTGCCACAGGGAACGCTCCACCTTTAGATAGTTCGCACCGGGTAAAATTTTAACTTTTATACATGAATAGTCCGCGGCCTATACACTATAAAAAAAGCCCGTGAGTCTGCTTTCCCGCACAACACTCGGAGAGCCAATCACTGCAACTTACGGAGGCAGCTCAGCGAATGACGATGCTGAAACATATGATTAGACCAAAAAACGCAGTCCGAGTTGTGACATTAAGCAATGCAAGCGTGACGTTTTGCATTGCTTAATGTCACAACTCAAACTGCGTTTTTTGGTCTAAACAGATGTTTCGGCATTGTCATTCGCTGAGCTGCCTCCGTAAGTTGCGGTGATTGGCTCTCCGAGTGTTGTGCGTGAAAGTAGACGCACAAACATTTTTTAGAGTGCAGTCCGAAAAAAAAAACGGTAATTCCGTCCTCCCATTTCATTATCGGCACATTAAGCCAAATCCATGCACTACTAATAAAGTACTCACTTCTGTCGGCGCACTGCCGTGATCCAAGCTTGCCGTCATTGGGTCTCGTGCGCTTTGCCAGGGAAACGGTAGAAGTGCAGAGACTTGCTAGTCTGTTCCCTGAGGTTGTTGCTACAGCCAACCACGCAACAGTAGCGTGTGCCAGGCTTACGTTTCTTTTTCTCCATTCCTCCTACGTAAATAACTCGTGGATGGCAGCGAAACGCGTAGCAAAAAGCCGCCAGACGCGCCAAACCACGCGATCCGATAGTACCAAAGTGTCTCACTAGGGCCCGGGATAGCGCTGCAGTCAGCGGCGAAACTTGAGCACGTCTCGCGTATTGGACGAACCGTGGTCAGCCGCGGGGCCGGTCGGGACCCGGAAGACGTCCAAGGGCCGGATGTGGCCAGCGGGCCGGGGTTTGGAGGCCCGTGGCGTAGATATACGCGGTTCAAAGTTGGAGACTAAAAAATAATGGAAGGTAATTAATCGGAAAGAGGAACCGGTCATTATTCCGGTTTGCTTCGAGTTCGGGTTCAGCAGCTTTGCATCTTGTTCCGGTGCGGTTTCGGTTCAGTTATTAATTATAAACAACGGTTCGGTTACCGGTTCCACCAAGGGCGAACCGGCTCAAACCGGTGATTAAAAAGAAAAGTCTACAACTCCCAGTCGTTAAGCTAGTTCAAGACAACGTCATTGGCTTTAAAGAAAAAAAATAAAAAGGCCATCATAAGGCGTACTGCGGAAACTAAGATAGCAAAACAAATATACGCTTAGTTTTGTTTTGTGATCTTGACTTTCTAATTGCAAACACCGTTCTACGTAAATTAAGTGGTCATTCGGTGGCTTAGAAGTAGAGTATTCGCATGTAAAGTCAACCCGCCGGCACGAGCAGTGACACCATGACCGAATTACAGACAACACTCGCAAACTACCCCCACCCCGCAAACCCGAACGCCATTCTCGAATGACCGAGTTGAAAACGAGAAAGACAGTAAAGGGCGGTCTAAAGATGATTAAAACGAAAGGAGATTAAAAAATCCCTACAACATGCCGCTTCCGAAAAACGCAAACACACACACACACACACACACACACAAATTCTTCAAGCAGGGTCCAGGTCCCTTGGCTGCTCTGGGCGATTGGCGTCCCAACGACCGGCACCGCAGTGCCGGTCGCGCTCGTCGTGTCTCCGCCTCTTTCCGCCTTTTGGCGCCTCCAGATTTTGCAAACGCGTAATAAACGCGCCAACAGTCGTTATTTTTTTTTGTTTTTGTTTTCATATTTATGTCTGCTTTCTCTCTTCTCTCTCCTTGAGGAATATTGCTTAGCAACAAGAAAATAAACATACACACACACATATAAACACACAGACACGCCGAGAATAACTCTTTATCCTCTTGGCATAGCCAGATATACTCTCATTCACCCAGACATGGAAAGTAATCCGTTCCTTTTTCAAGTAATTTTGTAATTGACACGTTACTTTTTTCTAGAGTAATTTGTAATATAATTTCGTTACAAAATATTGGTAACGAATTACTTTAATTACTCGTTACTTTTAAAAAAATATGAGTATAGTATAGTCACTTGACCAATGCGAGCAGAACATTTAGCAGCATAAAGAGAGCAAATTCAGCAAAATAGAAAACATCAGGAAGGGCAGAACAGCCAAAAAGGAACGACTTTTTTGTACGACCGGTCTCAGAACCATTACAAAAACGGGAAGGGCATGTACAAATATACGAAAGACAAAGATCAAGTAAGACAGCGGCAACCAGGCACTCCGTCGCCTTCCGCCGTGTTTTTGTTCCACCGGGCAGGAGAAAGCTCTGCGTGATTATTTTTCTTTTTGTCTTTTACACCATTTCACCCTTTCCAACTTCTTCGACGTCTTCCGCCACCTGCACAGACATCAAACGCGGGTCCGTAGTCCCTCGTTTCGCGGGTTCACAACTCGCGTAACAGACGATGTAGCCTCGCGCCAGCGGGTCGAATTCTCTCTGTCTTTGATGTGCGCTACTGTATTCTAGCACGCTCTTGAGGCACGGATGAAAAGCGCCCGGCTCGAGGCTAAGAGCATCGTCTTCGAGGGTACGGACGGTACTTCTTCTGGTTTACTTGTCTGGGCGGCATAATGGTCGAGTCTACTTCTCACTTTACAGTCAACTGTCAACATAAACGGGAGGGGGGGGGGGGGTGTTAGGCCATTTAAGGAGTGCTGACAGAAAGAGAGATTGAGAGAGAGAACGTGTAAAAGTGGCGTGATCCTCTATTATTTTGTGAGACCGATGGCCACCGCTTCTCTCGCTCTCTATGCCCTCCCCTCCTCTGGCCTCGGCGAATATTGGCAAGAAAGTGAGAACTGCGACTGCGACTGCGAAATAAACACGGTTTTAGTAGGCCAGTATATGATTCTTGATTATACAATAGGGCTTGTCACGCATATTCGAGTCCTTTTAGGGGGCAAATAAAGAATGTCCTTAAAAGCTAATATTCGCATTTTGTTTTTCAAAAACACGCTACTATATGAAAACTTAGAACTTACGTGTCTTAGTTGTAAGGGACAGAAAGTATATTTTACAAATATTGTTTCCTTATATTAAGCATTAAAAATCGTATTTTTTTTTACATTGTACAAAATATTTATAAAATATTTTGATCAAATAGCTGTGAGAATAACCACTGAAGGGGGGTCAAGATCGTGTGACATTAAAAAGCACGACCAGCTTCATCTTGGAATTCTCGAGAAACAGCCGCCTTTTGTTTGTTTCCCCACATTGGTGATTCCGACGTCCCAGCATGAATCGGCACAAGGTTCCCGATACTAAGGCTGGGCCCCTCGCAGGCTCAGCCCCAGCCGTCGGCGCCTACGCCGTTCGCCTGCCTCCCTTCTGGGTGCAGCACCCAGAAGTGTGGTTTCTTAGAGCCGAAGGCAGCTTCCTTCTGACCAACATAACTTCTCAAGAGGCACGATTCAGCCACATCCAGGATTCACTGCCCTGCGAAGTCGCGCTGGAGGTCTGGGACCTCCTCTCATGACCACCTGCGTCGAACTCGTACGATGGCTCAAAGCTGCCATCTTAGAACGCACAATGCTTTCGGCACACAAGCGTCTGCAACAGATCATGTCAGTGGAGAAACTGGGCGACCGTCGCCCATCGCAACTTCTCCGCGAGATGCAGTTGCTTCTCGGCGACCGTGCCGCGACGTTCGACAGCCGATTCCTGAAAAAACTGTCCTTGGAGCGCCTTTCACCATCGGTGCAGATGAGTCTCACGGCGGCATCCGATTTGTCTCTACCTGCCTTGGCCCTTCACGCCTATGAGATCATGGAGGTTGCCAATCAACATCCGACATTTTTTTACCGTTTCACCGCTTGAGCGCTCCCAGCCCGTCACTGCAGCGGATCACGCAGCGGCAGAGCCCGCGGCTGCTCGCGATGAAATCGCAGCACTGCGACAGGACGTGCAAGATCTAAAACTCGTCGAAAGCGCCTTGCGCCTTTTACAAACGCGCCTCGCTCGACAATCCTCTCAGTCCAGGAGCTCCCGCCGTCGTTCTTCTTCGCCACACGCGAACCGCCGGCCTAAGCCTAACGAACCGCGGAACGAACAGCAGCACTGCTGTTGCAGTGCTGTTGCTCTTGCTGCGGTTGGTTGTCCCACACAGATTTATAGTGTTATTGTAAATATATTGAACATATAGGGTAAGATCTCCGTTCTCCAAAAAATAAACATTATAAAGACGGTCGGTATAAAAATAGATACTCAACGGTTATATGTAGTTTAGATTCGTGCAACGAACGAGCAAAGTAGAAAAAAATACTGTTTTTTCAAAGCGATAAGAATAATTTGAATTTGTTCCATTGCCAGTATTGAAAATAGACAGTTTTCGAAGCAAAAACCTAAAAGTGTTCGGTCGAAAAATACCTACGTCACAATTAAATGTAGCAAAGAAAAAAATTAAAAATTAATTTTTAAAAGCAAGAAACTTGTACTTTTTAAACAGTAAATTGGATGCAAAGTACTCAATTAATAAACAAACAAACAAAGGGTGTGCGGTTTAAAAATACATACTTAACGGTTGTATGTAGTTTACAATTCAAACTAAAAAAAAAAGTTTCAACTATGTTTTTTGTTAATTGGTGTAATATTTATTTATACCTTTGGTTCATCATCTTCTTGCGTACTCTCAGTGAGGTAGAGACGCGCATTATTGCATATGTTAGCAAACGATGCTACCGAACTACAAAGCAGACGACGCCAGCTCTATTCACTGACAGTATGAGAACAGTA